TGCTGCCACAGCATGGCTTGATGAGCGGTGTGTAGGTCTGTGCCCAGGATCAACCCGGTGAATCCTGGGCTGCCAAAGCAGAGTGCGCGAACTTAACCAGTATGCCACCCAGCTGGCCCCACCTGCCCTTCTTCCCTCCCAGGAGGTTAGGGGGTGGGACTGAAAGTTCCAACCCTCTAATCACAAGGTTGGTTCTCCAGGCAACCAGCCCCCATCCTTAGGTGGGGTCCAAAAGCACTTCATTAACATACCTGTCTCCAGCCCTTCTCCCCTCCCCGGAGTTCTGAGGGAGGGACTGGAAGTTCCAATTCTCTAATCACATGGTTAGCGCCACTGGCAACCAGCCCCCATCCTTAGGTTACCTGAGGCCTTTCCAAGAGTCACCTCATTAACACAACAAAAGATACCTTTAGTGCTCTTAACACAGGACATTCCAAAGTTTTTAGGAGCTCTGTGCCAGGAACAGAGTTGAAGACTATATATATACTTATAAATCATAATGTCACACTGTGGATGTGTTTAAATCTTGAGCTGATAATCACCTTATGCTTAAAGTATAAAGAAATTAAATAAATCAAGCCTAAATGGAGAATCAAGTGAATCCTTTAAAGAGGCCTCACAGGGCCTTAGCTGCCTCAGGACCACTGTCCGCCTGCCCTACAGGCTAAGAGGCCCAGGACAGGGGGCCGTTGCCACCATCACAGCTCCCAAACCCGTCCTGGGTCTCAGTCTTCACCCTCAGGTGTTGTCCTGCTCTCCTCGCCCCTGGGCCATGTGGTCAGTCAGGGCCCGCAGCATGCCTGGTTGGATCACTAGACAGGGTGGGGTGCAGGTTGGAGAGCCCACCCAGGCAGGGGCATGGCACCTGGAGCACCTCTCCATTGGCACGACCGACCAGCTAAAATTTGGAGGCAGAACATCAAGAGTATGAAGATGTGGAGATTCCTAATAAGAGGCCGGAGGTGGTGTCTGGAGAAGGTCCAGGGTCAGAAACCAGACGATATGCCCCCACTGGGGCAACTGTGGTGTGTATGTGAGTGTGTCTGTGGGGAGGGAGAGGGAGCAGGAGGTGAGTCCTTAGAGGAACCTCCTGACAAGAGATTTTCACGTATTGAGGTGTATGGGGTAACTTCTGGTTCAAAACTGATTTGGCTTGAACTAAAGAAGCCAGTCTTAAGGCCTATCAAACTTACATTGTACATCTGCTTTAACTACTAAGGAATGCACTCTCTTAGGAATGCATACTTCCCCTCCTACGCCAGGACCAGTACCAGTAACATCCTATCGGTAACGCCCACCTGGTATTCGTCCTTTTCCCAACATCAGGGTCATGTTGACCTGCTAATTTGCAACTGAATACTTCTTTGAAACTTAGATGAATATGTATCCTGGGCGTGTTTAATGTATGTTACTTTGTTCTAAAAATGTATGATTGTACTGAAAAACCTTGCTTCTGCTGAACACTTTCTTCCTTTCTGGAAAATGCCTTCCTGGGTCATAATCCTCAGTCTAGCTCAAGCAAAACTCACCTTATCCCTAGAATGATTACTGGTTATTTTGCATTGACACTCCTTAGAGCAGGAAGTGAGTCCTTAGGGAAATGAAGGCTTGGGCACCCATGCCCTTCCCACATGGCCTGGGGAATCAGTGGGAGGAGAGGTGGGAGAGCGGGGGCTGCAGCGGGACTGACTGGACAGCCCACAGGAAGAGGAAAGGGGACACAGAGGCCAGGCCAGAACTTCTTCCCAGGTGCCAGCTTCTCTGGGCACCTTGCCTCCCTTCTAGGATCCTCCCTCCCAGGCCTGCCCTACTTAGTGCTGGTCTGGGTACTGTTTGGCTGGTGGGGTGATAGTAGCTGGAACCAGCTGACAAGGTCCCAGGGAGCCTGGAGGAGGGGAGGAAGGAGCTGCCATTTGGGCTTATGGGAGCTGGAGCCCTGTCCTCGGCCAGCCCCTCTTGCCTGGAGGCCTGGCTCTTTCCAGGGTATGAGGCCATGGGGAGTGGGTAGCTGTGGTGCAGCCTGGCTGGGTTGGATGGTGAGTAGCAGTGCTTCCTTTGGTTCCAGATCCGGCATCATGGGGTCACCACACGGGGGCACTAAGGAGACAGAGCAAGAGCAGGCCAGGGAGCAGCACATGCCTGTGCTTTCCCTCGTGTGTTTGCTCAGGTGACCCCTGACTCCTTTCTCTTGCTCGAGTAGATATCCCAGACAACAGATAGCTAGGAAACTGCTGAGAGTGTGGCCTTCCCCCATCCGCAAGGCCACTGCCCAGGTTCGGGCCCGCTCTAGTTTTTCCGGACTAACCTAATAGCCCCCATGGTTTCCCAGCCTCCATGGTGGCTCCCTCTAGCCCATCTTCACCTCCCACTAGTATTGTGTTAATCGCCCCATGGTCCTCTCCTGCTTAAAACCCTCAATGACTCCCCACTGCCCAAAGCATAAAGTCCAAAGTCTTTAGCAGACAATTAGGCTCCAGGCTGCCTGATTTTATCAGTTGCATCTCCCATCCTACCTTGGAGGCCCACTGAATACTCACTCTCCCTGGCATACATGTTCTTGTAGGCTTCTGTACTTTTATATTTGTTGTTCCCTCTACTTGGAATATTCTCCCTTCTCTGTTAAACTTTCCGTTGACTTTCCAGATCCAGCTCACCAATCTCTTCTCTGTGTTTCCAATGCCCTTCTAACAAAAAATGTCTGTTCATGTCTGTGCGGCAAGCCCTCTGCAGGTGGTGGCAGAATGAGTGAAAGGCTGACCCAGGAGCGAAGCTGACTCTTCTTGTCCCACTCTACCCGGGAGGCTCACTAGGGACCGAGGATGGCAGAAGTGGGCATAGGCCTCAGATGTTGGGAACTGCAAGTGAGCAGCAGGTGGAGCTGGAGGGCCTGTGACCTTGTGCCCACTGTTGGGAATGAGTTTTTGTGATAGGAAGAGGGGTACAGAGAGGCAGAAAGGGAAGGGGGCTTAGGCTCCAGTGGTCCCCTTATCACCCATCTCCACTGGGACCCTCAAACATCCCTCCCCATCACCGCCTCAGGATGCCTCCATGTCCCCTCACTACCATGTTGAGCCTTGACATTTTCATAGTAAAGATTCACACAGATGCTAGAAACAGTAGCTCCAACCTGGTCTTAGCTCACTACACTGCAAATTGGGCCAGTTCAAGAAACAGGTGTAGTGGTCATGGGGCAAGTCCTTTTGGACAGCGCACTAAGAGCACTCAGTCAGCGGGGTGGGGTGGGGTGGGATGGGAAGCACGCGGGGCAGGGTGAGCCTGAGCTGGAAGTCTAAGCTAGGAGAGAGGGCAGCCAAGGCATACCCAGCACCTTGGGAAGCTCCCCTTTCTCAAGGACCCAGGATTCTGGCCCCAGCATCTCTTCCTTAGCCCAGGGGATTGAGGCATACAGGCACTCTGTCCTGAAACAGACCCCTGAAAGGATTCCATCAGGGCATGAAGGGGCGGTGGTAGGAGTGAGGTGTCAGCGTCAGACACTTCCATCTTGTGCCCCTCTCCCCATTTCCTGAGTCCAACACTTCGTTCTTCTCCTGGAACCTGGCCAGAGTGCAGGGCAATCTCCAAGGGAAGACACGCAGGGCACGGGCATAGAGGTATGTGAGCTGCAGTACTGGAATGGGGCGCTGTGAGAGCTGGACCGCCCCTGCTGGAGGCCCCCATTGTGGCCACTCCCCCTCTTGTCCAGCTAGGTTCCCTCTTCCTCACCTACGCTCCAAAGCTCTCGGTGCCTCTCACTCCTTTTCCTACAAAGAGGATCTCAGTGGATTATCTGGAGTGGGACCTCAAAAATCACCAGATTAAAAATTTTCTTTGGGCAACTGCTAAGTAAAAAAAGTCGTATTTGGAGGCACTCACCTGCTATCTACCTTGGGGGAGAGGCAAAGTATTTGGGAAGAGGGAGAGGGCTAGGGAAAAATTCCAGAGATGGGTCATCCAAGGCTGTGTGGTTGAACAGGGTAAGGAACCCACTCACCTTGCAGCTCCCTCCCGTTCTTTCTTCCCAAAGGTGTCCTGGAAGCCCTGGGAGGTGCCTGATGCAAGACAGTGAACTTTGCAAAGGATAGCCTGCCAACTGCCAATTAGCACCTCCCTCACAGAAGCCTTGGGGGCTGACCACAGTCTGGGGTCTGCCTAAGGAGCGATCCTTAGGACTGGCTTTGCCCACACAAAAAGAACTTTTCTCACTCCTCCAATTAAAGATTATGAACACCTGTCTGGGCTAAAGACCTCCAGCCTCAGAGTCCATTCCTTTTTTTTTTTCCTGCTTGTTCTCCCCAAATCCGCCCCTCCCCGCCCCCGTATATAGTTGTATATTTTAGTTGTGAGTCCTTCTGGTTGTGGCATGTGGGACGCCGCCTCAGCATGGCCGACAAATGGTGCCATGTCTGCCCCCAGGATCCGAACCACTGAAACCCCAGGCTGCCAAAGCGGAGAATGTGAACTTAACCACTGGGCCACAGGGCCCGCCCGAGTCCATTCTTAAGAGGAAGTAATTACAGTATAGACACTTAGAAACCAAGTCAACTTGGTTGTCAGCAAACTTCCATCTGCTAACCCACAAGACCTTTCAACCTCTCCCTCTATGGAATAACTAAATCACTTGCTTCACAATTCAGAGGTTAAGCAGCGCAGGTCATAGAGAAAGAATTCAAGTTCAGGTTGTCTTGACCCAAATTCCCTTTTCAGCCTGCAATACAACTTCCCAACAGTTCCTGGTAGTTTGGATGGAGGTTCTTAAGATTCTTTTCCCTTACACAGCACAGGGAAAAAGGGAAACCAGTGTGAGGGTTCAGGATGCCAGGGACCATCATGCTTGAGTTTTCTACAGGCAAACGGGTGAGTACACTGCTTTATGTGGTTAATAATCTTCCTGCAGGTCTTACTCAAAGGATGGCAAATTTTTCACTTTTTGCACCAAAGCCACATCCCCCCAACCCAAATTTTAATGTAACTATGAAGAAAAGGACTCTCAACTCTGTAAGGGGTGTTATCAAGATATTATCATCATGGCCATAGCATTTCAAAGAACCCAACAAATAAAGAGAAAATCCTGGCTGGATTTGAGAGAACAATTTCTTGTTATAATGAACCAGAAATACAAGATTCCACGGAAACTTGAACAGTTGACAGAATATGGGTGAACTTAAAACTTCAAGGGAAATAAGAAAAGGGTCAAACAAAGCCAATAAATGGAGAAGCCCCAGACTGGTTTGGGATAAACACAAGAACAGCATTTCAGCATGGGTATTTTCTGACCCCTCTCAGCAGGTTATCTGCCAACCTTCTCCCATTCTTTTCTCGTTCTGAAGCATCCACCAAACCAAATGGCTTATTCCTCTCTATGGCAAGTCTAAGTCAAGCCAATAGTACCTCTTTAGATGTGATGCAAAGCCAAGAGGAAAGTTTATAAATCTCATTCCAAGACAGAAAGTGCACATACACTACCCAGCACACTGGTTATGTGTCAATGTGCATGGCAGCAACTTTAATCAAATCAGAACTGCTACCATGTGTAACCTATTATGTGGCCCTGTAGCTATGTCAATGTTCCTAATTTACTACACTAAAATATCAACAAGGCATAACGCATTTCTGAGCTCCATGTTTTCTAAACACTTCTAAGAGGCTATTAAAGATGATGTAGAACAGACCTAACTCTCAGAAACCTATGCATTAGGGAGGAACACTGATGGGCTCCTTTCGGGGACTTGTTTCATGGGGGCACAGAGACCAAAAGAGGAAATGTTAGAACATCAGTATAACAGGTGACAGGAGAAAGAGGTGGGAAGAGGGTGTCCTAGCCACAAGGCCAACACATTCACGTTCAAGGAGAAATTTCAGTGAAGGAAAAAAAAAACCCCCAAACAACATAACAAAACAAAACCCAAGTCAGAGAAAAAAGGGTTTCATACAACACAGTATCAAAAAAGTAAAAGGAACACACTAAATGCACAAACTGGTGGCAAGTAAATCCATAGCCTATTGTGATAGGTCCTTCCAGCATCAATCAGGTTTCTTCTCATCTGTTATCTCAAGGTTATGTACAGACGTGGTGACTTTAACAAGAGTCTCTCACAGGAGGGCAGGTAGGCTTCAATCATTGGTTTCAGGATCTGTCTGTGCCATGTAGGCATCCAACTCAGCATCCAGGTGTCCTTTCGTTTTCGACATGTATGCATCCAACTGGTTGTCCAGCTGCTCCTTGGTCAGTACGGGGCGAGCAAGGGCACCTCTCCCTCGTCCACGGCCTCTGCCTCTGCCTCCAAAGCCCCCTCTTCCCCGACCTATCATACCCCGACCTGGCCAAAGGGAAAAAAAAAAAAAGTTACAAGTAGGTTTAATGGGTGCTATGGTAAATGCCCCTTAGAGCAGTGGGGCCTAGCTGAGAAAGGCTGAAGGGCAGGGCAAAGAGGAGAAATCTGGAAAAACAGGAAACACACTGGGTAGAAAGCAACACATGGAAAGCACACATAATGAATCCCCTATTACATGCTCATCTCTAAATGCTATTTTAAAAAAACTTATTCTATCAACAAAGTAAGGGAAAATAATTGACAGTTAAAAAATCTTACTCTCCTAAAATGAAGAAATTATCTAAAGTTTGAGACTCACTATATGTTCATAATTAAAATACAATATTATAGATAACCCCATTTAGTAAGATAGGGAGGAAGTAACAAGGGCACAGAGAAAAAGAGAGGTGAAGCTAGACGGTTTCAAATTAAGCTTTATTGGAGATCCTTCTGGAAAATTAGCTCATCTTTCCTTAAACTTATCAAACGTAATGAGCTGACCCCACGTCAGGAGACTGAGGAGTTATTCTGACATAGGAACAATGTGGGGAGATGGGGAAAAACATTTTGAGTAGTCTTAGCCACCTCTATCTCTGATTCTAGTCACCTTATAACAATTATGGTTATTTGAGAGGTGGTTTCAATTCACTTAACAAAACATACCCAGCTTTCTGAAAAGCTACTTTAGACTCCCCCACCCTCATGATGTCTCTCTCAGAAAACAAGTCAAGATAATTTGGAAACATGCTATTTCATCCTGAAACTCAAACTAGCTTGCACTTCACTCAATAAGCCAAGCAACATATAATGGGAGAGAAGAAAACAAGCCCTCGGTTATCAAATTTCCTAACAGTTATTATCCCTTGGCAACTTCAAGGTCATAAATTATGGAAGACCCACCACACACTTTAAAAGGACCAAAGCAAATACACACAGGGGCTACAGGAATAGAATTTTTTTTTTCTTGGAGAGGTGTTGTTGGGAGTTTTCCACTAAGCTCTAAGCCAGAAAACTCCCACGAGATTTGGCATTAACAACACCACGACTAAACTCTTTCCCAATCTGGGTCATGAGGTCACAAAACAAATATCACAGTCTCAAACACTATGATCATCAACAAGAGTCAGTTAGTTAAACTGACATGATACTCATCTCGCCTTCTACCTTGATCAAAAAAAGTCATCTCTGGTTTCCCAGACACAAACTTTAGCTTGAATTTACTTGGTTTCAGAGTCAATACCCAGCTCCAAGCCTCACAATCCTCTTTAACTCTGCTTCATTTTTGTAAATCTCCTTCTCTATTCTTAGACTAGAAGTGAGGTTTTGAGCTATGGGGTGGGGTGTGTGGTGGTGGAACAGGGACAGAGAAAGGTAAAATCCCCAACTGACCATTTTGTCATTTAACAATATATGTAAACTCACAGGAGCCTGGAAGAAGACTGCATATAATCTGGCTCTGAAATATGTACCTGACTGCTTCTTGGAAAACCCACTACAGACTTTTGCACTACCAGCATGTGAATTCAGAAAATAAGCCAGTTTCAAAAAACAAAACAAGACAAACAAATAAGCCTGCCTATGACTTGAAGCTGCAGAAAGGTGGCTCTGAGTTTTGAAGGGAGAGAAATAAAGGGGAGCTATTCTCTGAAGTTGGTAGCTGACTAACCTCTACCACCGATTCCGCCACGACCCATAGCTCCACGCCCTAGGCCCCCTCTCCCAGGACCTCCACGACCTCGAACACCACCTCTTCTTAAGCCCATTCGGGGAGCTACGGCTCGTCCACCTCGGAGCAGGTTTTGACCTTGGAGAGGAGGCATACAATGTATATGCAGGTAAATCCAAGAGAGACAAAGTAGATTCTAACCAAAGGAAGGCGGTGAGGGTTAAATGAGAATTAATTCAGTTAATTTTTAGGTTGGGTGGGGCAAGCTGCACACTGGGTGTGAATAGATTAAGTTGCTCTTTATTTAATCAATTCAACAAGTCTGACCACAAATCTGTTTTTGGAAGAAGCTGGGAGTTAATGTAATATGTAGCTAAGTGCTATGGGTCAATTTGTTTTCTCTTTTTTTTCCAATGTAATAAGAGGGTTTCACTAGCACAGGAATATAGATGGTTGATTAAGATACACAGGCCAACAGACCTATAAATTTCTTAGATTTGACTTATTTCTAGAACTTGAATGTGCTTTGATTCAAGCAGCAGCAGGGTGTTTTAAAATGGAATGGAGATGACATGAATTACCTGTTGTTATGCAGGTCATAGCCTCTCACCATTGCACATTATCAGAAAAGGAATGGTATCGATAAAAGACATGCAGCACTATTAAAAATATGTGATTTCAAAAGTTATTAATTATATTAATACAAATTCAGGCTTAAAGATGTTAAACAATGTGTCCATAAGCAGCCCAAGAGAAAAGGGAAGGGGGTAGGGCCCGACAATCATCAGGTACATAGCACTGACCTCGGAGCGACATCCCGCCCCTAAGTAGGGTTCTTGTGGCACGTCCCCCACGTAGTCCTCCTCTGGGCAAGCCTCTCTGGATTATGGGCAGGCCTCGTCCTCCGATTGCTCCCCTGGCCAGGGCCCCTATGGGTCGGCCTAACCGTGCCTGGATGTTACTCTTACCCAGGCGCTGCTTTAAGCTCTTCTGGAAGAAAAGGTTTTGGGGGATTGAGATCAAAAAAGCAATCCAGTGGGACGTGGCAACTCAAAGTGCAGAGAAAAAGAAGCAAGTGAGATGTCTGCGTGGAGGGAAATAAACCTGCTGTGGGTGTCAGGATCCCAAACCAGAAGCAAGCCTTTGCCTCAGAACACGGTATAAAAGCTGAATTCTGATCCACTGCTTCTAAGCAGCTTGAGTATGGTCTCATGAAATTGGCATCACCACAAATTACCTCACTAGTTTGGCTACAGAAGTCATATACCACTGCTTGGAACTTAAGTTTTAGTAAGAACACTCTATATTTCAAATCCTAGATTCTGCTGTTTTTGAACCAGAGGTTGACAATAATACGACTTGATTCATACCTGCCCAAGGACTACCACTGTCTTCAAAGGCTTACTCAAACACCATAGGAAGTTCATCACACTCGGGGCAAAATTTAAACCACAAGTTCATTTGAATTCTTGTGACTTAAGAACAAGATTTGATTTCTCAGTCAAAGAGGCCAGTGTGCTCCATTTTTCCTCTGAGTATCTATCTCCAGACGGTCCACTTTTTACCTTAAGATGTAAATAAACACAAAAAAGTCAAACCCCTTTCCTTACATTTCTTAAACAGTCATAATGCCGTGTCTACCCTTGCAAACAGCTCCTGTAAGCCTGTATGACCTTTAATTCAAACTAAACATATAAATCAAATGTATCTCCAGAAAGCGCCAGCCAAACTTGTATTAGACTTAAGACAGGTGAGCTATAATCACAAAACTCAGGGCTACACAGTTGAGGATAAGGACATATACATCAGAGACGGAGACTGTCAAGAATCTGTTCCTCAAAGAGAAACTATGAAGATCACATGTCAGAGAATTAAATTCTTTCAAAGGAAAAGGTGACTGTGTAGCCTTGAACACAACCAAGGTCCTAGCAAACCTGTTTCCTATAAAGCCATCAGTCAAAATGAACGGAAATAAATTCTATGCTTCCTCAAGGTTCATCCACGAGTGACAACCAGTGATTTCTTTTTGCAACCATATGCTCCAAGTTATTATTATCAGCTTTCTAACACAAGATTATAAACTGCTTCTAACCAGAGGGGCAGGCTCTGAACGTTATTCACCCAGCATGGATAGGTGTAACCAACCATAAAAGCCTGTCACATCATTCCCTTGATAGCACACAATTATGACGTCAGGACTTCATTCTACAAGTTCCTTGTGTTTGGTCATCCTGAGTATGTTCTCCTAGGATCTGTGCTTTAAGGGGAGAATCTACAGTGCTTAGAAGTTCTTCTTCCTTCCCAATCCTTAGTTGCCACCAATACTGGTCTCTAGCATTGACAGGAAGCTTAACGATGTCAACTATACCACCCAGTTTCCACTCTAGACCTGTGCTGTATCCTACGGCAGCCACTAGCCACATTCGGAGCACTCAACAGTCACATTTGGTTAGTGACTACTGTATTGGAGAGCACAGATATAGGACATTTCCGTCACAATAGAAAGTTCTATTGGGACAGCGCTGCTCTGGAGGCTGCTTTCTGCAGCCTATATTTAAGGCTATGTTTAAAGGTCCTGTGGAATGATCTCTCAAGAGACTTATCTTCAGCCAATCTTGGAAAATGGTGGTGCTTTTTACTGCTTTCCTGAGTCAGGGACGAATGCAGTCACTCCAAGGCTTAAGGTAGCTGAAGCAGAAGGCCTTGTTTATTTTTGGTCAGTGAGCCCGATGGTTCAGGGTGGGGGTGGGAGGGTGTTATATTTAACTGCTGAATTTATGCGCAGCCATGCAGTGCTACCAGTTAAAGTCCTTACAGTTGCATGGCACCGCCCTCCAGACGCCCAGCCACAGCTTGGACATATCCTTCCACAGCCACTGTCCGGACTTGCATATAAAGTCTATGAATAATAAAGAGCAGGTTTTATTTCAGGTCTGAATAGGATTATGTCTTACTGGAAATTTGAAAGAGAACCCACTAACTTAAATTAATTACTCAGTGCTCTCGCTTGCTGTACTTTACTGACAGAACTTTAGGTGCAGTGGAGATAAGGGTCACCTTACTCTTTCCAAATTTTAGCAGTGAAAACCTTTGACTAAGCCCATTCAGACTCCCTGTACCAGGGGAGAAAGAATAAAATTATTTCCCTAATTTCTACATCATCTAACAGGGAATAACAATTTTTTGAAGATCATGTAAAACAGAAACCAAAATTTCTTTGTGGAAAAAGCCAGTGAATTTACTTTAAGGGCAAAGGATCAGAAAACGAGAGATTAATGTTCATTGACAACATAGAAACAGGCCACACTGACGGTAACTCCCTAAAAGAGAAAGACAACAAAGTTATTTATTGGTACCTGTCAAAATGGGAATTCTCTGAACTTCTCTTCCTTCCAGAGAAGTTTCAGCTTTTGCCCTGAGCCACCTTGTAATCATTCATCACGTCCTGACAGCCTCAGTGGACTGCCTGACAGAGATCATCAGCTGCTTCTGGAGTGTTAAGACCCATTCTCTCACCTGCTTAAGTTTTAATGCTGCCTGGACAGAGGGTCTATTCTCCATCTGCTGGGCCAGTCTTCTGTTTCTGGCACTGGCTAGCTGCTGTTGTTGCTGCATCGAAGCTCGAATATTCACTGGCATCGGCTGTTTGTTCTTCAGCATATTAGTAAAGCTTCAAGGTCGAACAGAATGGATGTTTAAATAAAAGCTTTATTACAAGACATTTATTGGCATTTTCATGGCTTGCTAGACCAGGAGCTCCAGATCCCACGAACTTTAAGTAAAGTGGTACACTTGGATCAAGGCTGATGTGGGTTAAAGACTCCTCTGCTTCCACAAACTTGCAAGAATCAGAAACTTAGAAACGCAGCTAAGTGCAGCACATTCAATCAAAAGTGATAACAAGGGCTCAGGTAACGGCTTTTAGAGAGATGGAAGGTATGAAAAACACGCAATAAGCAGATATGATAACAACAAGAGACAGAAGATGTAGTTTCAAAGACAAACGAAGAAAGCCAAAACCTTGGGGGACCTGAGGGTGCATTTTAAGGGCAAATATAAGGAAGGACTAAAGGACCTTCACAGCCCATGAAAATAACACATATAAATTATAGGAGTGTATCACATTTTCTTATACATTTGTTCACTTAGTAACATGTGAACATGAAGAATTAGTGTATCATACCCTAAGAGATGATAAGCACATAGGCCTCAGAAAAAGCAAAAATAAACATTAGGTAAATCTTTCACTGGTCTAACATCAACTTAATAAAATCACTGATCAAAGACACTTAATGAACAAAGCTCTTGGAGACAGAAACTGCTGTTAAATACCTTAACTTGCCTTAGTCTCAAATGATTACTTTTTCTGACTCCAAGTGGTTACTTCTGAAAACGTTTGATTCATTCAATCATTTAAGAGCTTGTGAAGACACTGTTCTACTACTCCTGTCAAGGTAAGTTTAATAGAATGGAAGAGAAGAACACTTAACTGTGAAAGAATCCAAAACAAAAACAAACTAAGAGCAGAACGGAAAGAAAGTGAAATGGAGCAAAGCAAGTGCCTCTTACAAGGCCCAAGAATGACATTCGAGGGCCTTTGGACATATTCACAGCTTGCTACCTGCCTCTTACAGGCCAGACACAACACTGCCGGCCTTGGACTGGGCAGCAAGCCTACTGCAGCCAGGTACCATGCTACCGAGCTGCACCACCCCTGTATCAACGTAAAAAACGTGAAGAAAAGGGAGGATGTGAGGAGTCTTTTTAAAATACATCCCACCAGATAAATCTCTCAGACAGCTTAACATAAAAATCTACTGATAAGGGGTTTTGAAACAACCGCCCAATTTGTTTTGTGTACCACATAAGATGCAACTAAGAACAGAGGTCTGTAGCCTGCTGTTGGTATTTAGTTTAAAACCGGTTTTTGTGCATTGGACCCCAGGGCCAATTTAAGTAATGTTTTCTTATGAACGAGCTGAAGTTGCTGTTGGCTGCCTCACCGCTCATTTAGAGACATCTTGGTGGTGCTTTTTAGCACAACTTTCGGCGCTGACTGTGCAGCCATCTTCAAATCCCGAGAATCTACAAAGGGCAATAGGCAGAAAGAGCAAATTAGAATAACAACCACCTCATTTCTACCAGGGCCAGAGGCTCAAACCAATAACCACTGAATAGGCCTGTATCAATGATTACTGATGGTCACACTAAAACTCCTTTCAGGTGCTTACATTTCTAAGATAGTTACCTCCAACAAACAAACTTCAAGGCTACAGGATAGGAAATATCTGCCAGAGACTCCAAAATGGCAGCCCTGGACCTAGCTAACCGAAGTCTAAGAGTTTGGCTCTTAATCTAGAGCAGTCCTTCTCAACCTCGGCTGCAAGGAGCTTTAAACAAAATACAGAAGCCAGGGCTCGAGCCAATCAAAAAACAATCTCTGGTGGTGAGGTCTGGGGACCAGCAACTGGAAGGAGGAAAAAGCAAAAAAACAGGCTGCCTAAGTGCTTCTCACGTGCAGCCACAACTGAGAAGCACTGATCCAGAGAGGTGATACAGGCATACCTACTCTCAAACCCGGCTTTCGACTCCGAAATCAAGTAGGGCCTCAGCAAGGGACTGCGGACCGGGGGAGGGAGGAGGAAAGGCTTCCTGGGCGGGCATTCGCCTGGGAGTCAGCTCCCAGAGAGCGCGCTCTAAGATTTAACCCTCCCGCCGCCATCACTCCCCAGCGCGCCCCCAAATCCTGTAGTCCTCGTGTCACCTCCCAGCCATCTCAAAGCCCTGTCGACACCGCCAACTCCGCTCGAACCACTTTCCTTTCCATCCTACCAAACGCCAAGCTCTCGCCCGGCGCCGGACGGGTCCCCAACCCGGGCCCGCCCCCGCCTCCTCCGGGGCTCCGCCCCCTCGCGGGCCCCCGCGCTCCAGCACCCTATCTGGGGCCATAGCCCGCCGTCGCCCGGCCGCGGCCGCCCCCAACACTTCTCCCTCCTCCTCATCACAAACACGCACCGAAGGAAACAGACGCCAGTGCTCCTCCCGGGGCTGCCACCACGGCTGCGGCAGGCGGGCCGGCGGCCGGCCGAACCTGAGTGGCCGGTGGACGGGCTCGGCTTAAGTTGGTGGGCGGTTGGTCAGAGGTGTAAGCGGTAAATTGCTAGGTTAGTTCGTTGCCGTTGGCTGGCTGGCTGGCTGGTAGGCCGGTCCGCCTGCTCGCCCGACCTGCCCTTGCCTGCCTTTCGTCTGTGCCACCACAGCCGCTGCGGCCAACTCCCGCTCGCTGTCCAAAACAAAATGGCCGCCACGCCCAGTGCGGAGTGGGACCGGCTAAAATGGCGTCGACGCAATTACGTCAGACGTCCGATCCACGCACGACTAGGGAGCGGGAAGATTTGTGCTACGCCTGCGCGGGGATGGGGGCGGAGCCCTAGGGAGAAGGCGGGGCCTTAGCAAAGGTCTCTGAGTTACACGCAGTGACCCGCCCATAGAGGGGCGTGGCCAACGGCCTTGCGGTGGCGTCTTGTGGCAGTTTCCTGTTGGAGGTGTGGTTTCTCGGGATCTGGGCGGCTCAGAGTGGTTTTGGTCCTGAGGAGGAAGGTTGTCGTATTTCCTCACGTGCTATCCCGCCCCCCCCACGCCCCAAGCCGAGGCTGACTGTCTAAAATTATTTACGTCGGACTTGCCTGGGTCTCTTCCTTACAGCCCCCCCGAGTAATTAGCCCTGGCTCTCCCCTCATCATCGTTCGCCCTGTTCAGAGTTGTGGAGTATCACAATCGCCCTGGGGGCCCGGTGCTGGCAGCACACCTCTACTGGGTTCTGTGCCGGACATGACCGCCCGTCCGTATTTCTTGTTCGCTTCCTCTCCTCCCCAACTTGGCCTGAATATTTCTAAATCTTTATTTGGGGGGAATCTTTGCATCCCTGCTGCAGTTTCCATGTCCTCTCTTCCCATCTGCCATCTGTGTTGGATTTTTTTCCCCAAAGATTTTATTTTTCCTTTTTCTCCCCAAAGCTCCTGGGTACATAGTTGTATATTTTTAGTTATGGGTCCTCCTAGTGGTGGCATGTGGGATGCCACCTCAGTATGCCTTGATGAGCTGTGCCATGTCCATGCCCAGGTTCCCAACCGCGGAAACTCTGGGCCACCCAAGGGGAGCGGGGGACCTCAACCACACACCCACAGGGCCGGCCCCCTATGTTGGATTTTGATGCGGACCTATCCGAGATTTTTCTTATGCCTGGGTACACAGTAAAATGCTCAAATGTTTGAAGAATGAGTGAATAAGCACATCTTCAACCCTTCCTTCCCTCCCCATACAGGCACATCAGGATCCTTTCATTTTTCTTCCTAGCATTTACCTGTATGTGTGTGTTTATTTTATTTAATTTATTTATTTTTTTAGGAAGATGAGCCCTGAGCTAACTACTGCCAATCCTCCTCTTTTTGCTGGGGAAGCCTGGCCCTGAGCTAACATCGTGCCCATCTTCCTCTGCTTTATATGTGGGACGCCTACCACAGCATGGTGTCCCAGGCGGTGCCGTGTCCGCACCCAGGATCTGAAACGGCGAACCCCAGACTGCTGAGAAGTGGAACGTGCGAACTTAACCACTGCACCACCGGGCTGGCCCGTGTGTGCGTGTGTTTACTGGTCTAGCATCCTTACTGGACTTTACCTAGGTGAGGGTAAGCATCGTTTGTTTTGTTCACTGCTGTATCCCCAGTTCCTACACAATGTCTAGCATATGGTAGGTCCTCAGTAACTATTCTTTGAAGGTTGAAGGGAAATTCTTTCTTTTTCTGGCTTTATAGCTGAGAAGCTATCTCCTCCACTTCTGGTTGGAACTTTGAACCCCTACCCTCCCGGCCTTGAGCATTCCTCAGGTAGGAAGATGTAATGGTCCCTTGACCTCTCTCCAAATAAGAGCCCTCCTCAAATAAGGCAAGCTGGGAGTGAGCAGCCTTCACTTTCCCACCCACTTCCAGACCCCATAGGAGACAGACAGCGGTTGGCGAGAGAGGAGCCTTTAATGAAAGATGAGTGGCAGGCCTGGCCCACTACTCTTGCGCCCTTGTTGGAGGGTGGGCAAAGGTGGGAGTGTGGGGAGGGGAAAAAGGGATGAAGGGGAAGCAGGGCAAAGGGGCAGGTATGGCAGGGTGGAGGGGAAGGGCGCTGCCCCCTAGGGCTGTCTGCTCAACTGTTCTCCCAGAAGAAGTTGTTACAGGCCACTGTGAGGGCAGCCACCAGCACCACGTACTCCTGGAAGTCCACCTCCCCATCTCCGTTCTCGTCTAGCTCCTTCATCACCTTGTCCACAGCATCTGCATCCTTCTGGGCCTGTGGAGGGAAGAGATGGAGAGTTAGGTGTACAGGGAGATGAATAGCATGGTCAGGGGCAAGGTGGGTGGTTGATTGGGGAGGAGGAGGCAGAGATGAACAGTTTGTGGTTCAATAACGTGCCCAAAGTTACACAGCTAGAAAGTGGCAGGGCCAAAATTTGAAACTAGGTCTAATAAAACCTCAAAGCTGGTGCACTTTCTTTCTTTCTTTCTTTTTTTTTTTTTAGGAAGATTAGCCCTGAGCTAACATCTGCTGCCAATCCTCTTCTTTTTGGGGAGGAAGACTGGCCCTGAGCTAACATCCGTGCCCATCTTCCTCCACTTTATAGATGGGATGTCTGCCACAGCATGGCTTGCCAAGTGGTGCCATGTCCACACCTGGGATCTGAAGCGGTGAACCCTGGGCCGCCAAAGTGGAACATGTGCACTTAACTGCTGTGCCACTGGGCCGGCCCCTGGTGCACTTTCTATTGGCTTCTCCTTTACTATATGACCCCTGTTAGCATTTGCAGCCTACTTGTCTGCATCCTTCACTCTGGTCAAAACCACTGAGCATTCTCCACATTCTTCTTTCTCCCATGCTTTTGTTCATGCAAATACCTCCTCCTCAAACATCTACCTTTACCCTGAAAACCTTGCGATGGAAACCCATGGCTCAAGTGCCACCTCTTTGGAGAAGCTGTCTCACTTCAGTCAGGTTAATATTCTCCCATAATCCTTTCTGGCACTTCTGTTCAGGCTTTATATACTTCCTGAGGGGCTGCCGAAGGCTTCGGGGCAGAGGAACGGCTCACTGCCTCTGAGCTTCCTTTCAGCAGAGTGGGGGCCTCTTTTGGCCCTTTAACTCTGCTCTTTCCTGAACTCACTTCCTGGTGTTCATGGTTTACTTTCAAGTGTCAGTCTTTCCCTTCTAGACTGTGAGCCTTGTTATTGAGGCACTACATAGGGTCTTAACATAGCACTTAACAGGTGATCAATAAATCAGGGCATTTTGACTTGGCCCAGGAGGAGTAGGGGAGCCTGGCAAACCCAGGAGAGAAGCCTGGGAGAGGAAGGAGATGGTTGGTCTGAGCTGGGGTGGGGTGGGGAGATGGCAGGGAGGTACCCACTCTGTTCTGCCACCCCTTGCCCATTCCACCCTGTACCCCACCATGTGCTCACGTCCAGGAAGCCGGAGAGCTCGGTCTGCAGCAGCTCTTTCAGCTCCTTCTTGCTCAGCTTGTACTTGTCCCCTTCCTTGCCCGAGTGGGCGTGGAACACACTGATGAGAGTCTCCATCGCCGTCTCCAGCTCAGAGCCCATTGCGCAGCTCACCTACTCCCCCCCCGCCCCGGCCGTGGAAGTGAGCTGGGGACCATGCTCAGGGTATCTGGGGTCCGGGTGAGGGGGGCCCTCAGCCGTGGCCCTGGTCCCACAGCTCAAATAGCCATGAGATCAGATTTCTACTGAAATTTATCCTTCAGTGAAATTTTATGTTGTAGGGGAACCCAAGAGCCCTAAATCCAGACCTGTTCTCTATGTCCCTCAATCCATACCCTAGCTAGAAGGAGTCAGGGTTTGGGGCATGGAGACAGAGCAGCTAGAGCTGAGCTAGCTCTGGAGGCCTGCAGAGGACTCTGCAGTGGCTCTTGGCTGCCTGGGCAGACACTGAGGAGGGTGGGGCAGGCAGGCGGGGGTGGTCACAGGACCTGGCCAGGGTTCCTCTGGCTCTGTTATTACCCTGGACCTTGCCTGCCTAGCACAGCTAAGCTCTGCTGTTGGCGGTGATGGGCAAGGCTCCCCTCCATAGCCTTGTCTCTGTTGCCTACCCCAGCAAGGGGTCAGTCTGGTGCCCTTGGTCAGTCTGACGGAGAAGGTGGCAGCCTGAGTGGCTGGCCTAAGGTTTCATGAGGAGGGGGGGTTCTCACTGCCTCTGAGCTTCCTGTCAGCAGACTGGAGGCCTCTTTTGGTCCTTCAATTCTGTTCTCTCCTGACCACATCATGTTGGTTTCCCTGGGTTACGCTTCCATTACTTCTAGTTGCATTCCTCTTACTCCTCTGCAGGATCAGCCCTTCCATGGGGTGGTGGTGGGAAGGGAGAGAGGAATATCTGAGCATTTTCCTGGAGTCAGGGCTCTCAGGGACAGGGAGAGGAATCCTGTGGGGTCTTGTCCCAGCTGCTGGCCACTCCTACCCACAGCCCGACTTAGTTGATATAGGGACAGTGGCAGTAGGGAGAATGGATTAGTATGTGTTGGGGGAGATAAAGGGCTGAGTGCATGGGTCCTCTGAGTTCAAGGGGCTGGGAGAGAGCAGAAAAATGGAGGGGTCTGTTGAGGAGAGGGAACTGTCAAGCCAGGGGGCCTCTTTGCTTTGGCCTTGGGACAGCCAGCCCCTCCATCGTCTCAGGGGGCAGCTCAGGTGTCTCAGATCAGGTGTCCCCGTCCTTCCCCAGGCCTGACAGCCTGGACAATGGGCCCTGATCAGATGACATCCCAGCTCTTCAATGGGGGCCTTGTGAGTGTCACCTGAACTCCGGACATGAGAAGCAGTTGTCACAGAGACATGCAGGAGATGGAACCCAAGCTGGGGCTGATGGTGGGGATAAGTGGGGTATGTGAAGGAGGGGTGCTGGTGGCTCAGTTATTGGCCCTATCCAGGAGGGGCACCTCAAGGTTGCCTGGAGCCCTCGAGCAGCCTGGGATTTTATGTAGGGGCCATTCTGAAAGGACTTTGGCAGGGAGCGGGCAGACAGGAAAACAAAGAGGAAAGAATTGGGGGAAAGAAGAATCTGGAGAGAAGAATCTGGGCCAAGAAAGAGGAAGAGGAGAAAGGGGAGTCATATGAAGGGAGAGTAGGGATTGGGTACAGTATCCTAGTGCCCCCTCTTCCTGACATCACATGGTCCCTGCTCCGCCACCCCCAGACTTCCCTGGGACCTAAGCTCTTGGCAAGGCTGGGTGGGGGTGGCAGAGAGACAGAGACCGAAGAGGGGGTGGG